TTTTGGGGGGGGGGGGGGGGGCGGCGGGGGTAGCAGAAAATGTAGTCTAGCGAGTACTGGTTGCGGTTGGTATTCCGTAAATTGGCACCATCTGCCGTTGGCATCGCTAAGCTCTAACCTACCTTGCGGTAGCGTTCTTGCGACCTGCTTTATCCTATGAACTTCCTTTCCCGAGTCTTCTAAGCAAGAACACTGGAAATTTCGCAGCATGCATCTTTTTCACATGGCAATGTTACTTTATTATTGCAGACTTGTGAGACGCTCAAATGCGCCGTGCCTGGCAAAGGATGTATATCTAGGAAGATACCGCCAGCAGAGGGGACGCCGTGCGGGGAGGAAAGAGTAAGAAATTGCTGCAGATTGAAATACATTATATAATTATATACATGAATTACTGCATCCCTACGTAACTGCATCGTAACGACTCCGAGAGGGAATTGGGAGACTGTTTTGAATTTCAAATATTTGGCAAGACTGGTTGGCTAGGATAAAACCTTGTTCCTGGCGAGGAACTAATTGCGACGTAGTGATTCTCGCGAAATATCAGTTGAATTTATGTGACAGCGTTAATAACGAGACACTCGCCGTACTGCTCGATGAAACGCGCAGATGAATTTATTAACGTTGACTGTGGGCTCGTACTACAGGTATTAGTAAGAATCTTGTTGGCGCTGCTAGTTGATATTCTGTTCAACTGTAAATCTGTAAATCCGGCTAATAGGTAATCGTTAATTGCCACTATGAGTTTCATAGAGTTGAATCGTCATCACGTTTGCAAATTCACATTTTACGACTTGTTATGATGGAGATGAGATCGAGTGGACGAAGTCGCAGGAGATTAACGATACGAAAGAAACGAAAGAGATTAAGGAGGGATGATGCTGAGAGGCTGTTTTTTTTCTTCCTATCGTCGTTACTCATTCGCCCAGTTTCTTTTAAGATTCGATCGCGAACGGCAGTAATAATTTGAAACTCACAAGCCAAACGACCATTACAACCGACGCTTTTAAAAAGAATTCTTTCCTTGACAATAAAAAGACCTTTTATTTTTCTTATTTTTCGGATTGCCCTTTCATATGCGTTTCCTGCTGTCATTTAATTTCTTCTCGTCTCCTTTACCTGTACTGTAACTAAAAGTGGTGCTATCAAATGAAATGCCTCATGATCGGCGAACGTCCTGATGCCACGGACGGAGCTTGGAGCGCCTGGTCTCCTTGGAGCCGATGCTCTCGCACGTGTGGTTCCGGTGTTGCATCCTCCGAGCGAAGATGCAATCATCCACGACCTTCGAAAGGAGGCGCATACTGCCCGGGTAATTCAAAGAGACACAAAATATGCGCCACCGATGTAAGTACTGATTTAACACGTCGATCGAGTAAACAAAATGTCATCACTGATTTTTCATATCTTCATTAGCCTTGCGAAATTGGTTCGCCATCCTTCCGCGACGTCCAGTGTGCTCAGTTCAATGACTGGGTATTCCCGGAAGACGGGAAGATTCATCAATGGGTGGGCTACAACTTACCAGAAAGTAAGCCAATATTGCCGCACGGGGATTTCGTAATAATCTTCTTGTGCCCGTTCATCTTATTTCTGTTTCGAGTTTCGTTTGCCTATTGTGCCAATGTCATTTGCATTTTCACGCTACACGACACAACCTATTTAAATTGAAAGTCGATCGCTTGCGCGTTAAATATATATATTTTTTTTCGTCGGTTGAAGATTTGAAGGCTTCCGAAAATCCCTGCGTTCTCTTTTGTCTGAGCGAAACGAAACTGCTGACGTCGTTAAAGCCGAAAGTGATAGACGGTACTACGTGCTATAGAGGTATTCGGGATATATGCATCGGTGGCATTTGCAAAGAAATACCCTGCGATTTAGACATGGAATCCGATGCTGTTGAGGACATCTGTGGAGTTTGCAAGGGCGATGGCACTTCGTGTACATTGAAGGAAGGCACTATATCAATTCAGGCGCAATCGAGTTCGTAATACATTGGGCTTTTGCATTGGGCTCTTAGAAAGTTTTTGCTATAGACTTGGATAACTTCGAAAATTAGGTCTAAAGAAAGTCATAGACGTGCCCGTAGAAGCTAAGAACATTCGAGTTGAAGAAGCGGAACCAACGAAGTCACGAATAGTCGTCAGGAGCAAAAATACACGAAATGTTTTGATCGATGGGTAAAAGTGTTTCTTTTTTTTTTTCCATAAAATAAAAATCCTGTGTGTCTCTAAACTCTTAGCTGTATTATTTCAGGAATCGGTTAGGAATGTTTGACGTTCCCGGATCAAAGGCGTGGTTGGGCATGATACGAGGGAAACAAGAAGCCCTCAACATACCGGGACCAATTACAGAGGAGCTGGTAATACTGGTAAATGTGAATGAGACCTCTCTGAAGTTGTTTTGGTACTGGAGTTTACTCAATTGCTTCGTGTCTGTCATGCTGGGAGTTTAGGTTTATCCGAAGGAAAACGTGACACTCAAATATTCATTGGGTCTACGAGATGAGAAGACGAGAAAGCCCGAGTTCGATTGGGGCTACGTCGACTGGTCCAAATGCAACGCACCTTGCGGTCCCGGCGAGGAGGTTTCTACACCTCGTTGCATAGAAAAAACAAGCGGACAAGTAGACGATAGTTTTTGTAAGAACATCACAAAACCAGACGTTAAGATGAGACCTTGCAATCAGGCATCCTGCATTCCGCGGTAAGTACCATAAAGGATTGGTGAAGTCTGTGATCGTAGCTGATCGTCACTTCGAGTCACTTTCCAGTTGTTTTCGGCGACCTTCTGCACTACGCACAATGATATTTTATTCTGAAGTGGGATCAGTTTAACTGCCGCAAACTACAATATAAGAAGAGTCGAAGAAAGCGCTTATGATGTTTTTTCAATCGATTGGCTTGTTAAGATAACCACCGCCTTTTTAATGTTACAGATGGATGATCGGTGACTGGCAAGGTTGTATTCCGTGTACTTCGTCGTGTAAGAAAGTACGGGCAGTCAAGTGTATTCGACCTGTCGGCCATGGAGAACAAGAGGCGGATATTATCTCCGACAGTTTTTGTCAAGGACCAAAGCCGAAGGAAACGGAAATTTGTAACTATCGAATTCGACGGTGCGAGAACGCTAAGGGAGAAAGGGACTCAAGAAGAAATCATCAATGCATCCCGGATTTGTTCAATAGAATATCAAATAATGAATCTTCGATGTTTGGGGGAAACGAAGATTTGGGAAGAGCTTCGAGAGAGCGTATCTTCGACAATCAGGATAAAGATGATCGATGGGTTGATGCAATTGGCAATACAATGGATCCTTTCAGAGGGACTTTACACTCGTTGACTATTAAAAAGAGAAAAGATAAGCACGAAGATAACGTAGTCAAAGTGGAAAAAATTAATAAGGGAGAAATATTCGCGGACAAGGAAGATCTTAAGAATCTTACTTTGACGATTATATTAGAACGAGATGAGGATAATAATGTTTTGAATTTTCCAAAAGACTTCAAACCTCAACCACCGGACAATGTGACGGATTTCACTCTCGCCGGTATGGATGCTGTAAAGTATATTCAAAGGATACAGGACGAGGCTCGTACGACCTCGGAAATTCCTACCCCTTAGACCCCAATCAACCGATATACCAACGAGCACGACATTGAATATAAACGATCAGTCGAGCATTGACGATCTTCCGGTGTCTTGACAACTTGCGACTCAGTCCATGAAGTGCTTAGCTCTTATATTTACAAATTGTATTTCTCTTTTTAATAATAAACTTGCAACACATACGTGGAAGAATTAAACGTAACGTTTGTTAAGTATGGAAGTGTTTCAGTCACTTTCAGATTTAGACGTCGGCGTCGGCGTCAACGTTGCATCATCGTCGATCTTATTTGGAGATGCGTGGGAAGTGCCATAGTCACGTTCCGTGTTATTATCATTGGCGGAAGTTGAAACGCTATCAGTATGCGTTAGGTCTTTCAGAATCTTTACAGCTTGCGCACCTTTATAGACCTTTTCCTGTCTTGTGTCGAGTCCCATGGGCACAGAGTCGCCACTTTCTTGGAATGCTAGGTCTGACAAATTGGACTTCAAATAATCGGCTCTTAACGGCGCTTGAAGAAGTGTAATTTGGTTGGTAGGTGCATGATCCTTTATAATGGATCCTGGCTTTGGAGTGGTGTACCTCTTTTCGCGTGTGTTTTCCACATCCGTTCCGGCTTCTCTATCGCACGTACGCTTTCGTTTATTTTCCTCGCCACTAACGATCCACTCATGTATCAAGTGTCTGAAATCTTCAGCCACGTTTCTTTTCTCCGACTTCGAGTTGTCTGTTTTCTCAAGATATCGGGCCAGGCCCAAATCAACAAAATTGTCTATCATTCTTCGTTGCTCGTCCAACGACAGCATACGCGCTTCTGGCTTCACTGATACATTAATAAAGTTTTCGGAATTCCGAGTTTTCTTAGCACAAATTCTCTTGCACGGTCTCTGCCCCACGCATTCTTCGCTCTGCTTCGGAACTCTGCCTTTACAGGCATCCAAATTTGCCTGCACATCGTCACCACCCGGATGTGCTGCTGGTTTCACGCACTGGACCTTCCGATGCTTTGTGCCTGTCTTACCACCGCAAGCACTGCACTTGCTCCACTGACTGACTCGCCACCTATTCCCGAAAAAAAAATACAATTGCCTCACTGACCACTTAAATTTGTTGAAGACAATTCGAAAACTCTCAAAATCCCCAGAACCTACTTCGGACCACAAGGCTTCTGATTGCAAATTTCACTCTTTGCTTCTGGTCGTGTTATCGACTGACAGTAACTGCTGCTTACTTTTCCGGCTTGCTGCTCGATGCAAGTTGGCTCGGATAACTAGAAAACAGTGAGTCGCCAATGCAAGCAGTAAGATAAATTATATGCGTTTCCACTAATTTCTTACCTTAGTTCCTCCGCCACATTTAGCGTCACAGTCCGACCATTCGACATAGTCCCATAAATACTTAGGCGTGTACGAACTATTAGCAGACTTTACGTAGTACTTGTAAGTAATACCGGGATTCGAATTGGGATCATAAAACGTATACTGAAACGATAAAAAAAAAAAGTTGGCTACTTTCGAACTTCATTTTAACAGGTTCAGGTACCTGCACTTGCACATCCTCCGTGATCGGGTCCTTTATTAGAATTTCCTCCTTCTGGGGCTCGGGATGCGTATAGACAGCAAGTGCCCCTGCACATTCATATTCTCCGTCTCGTTGTTCGATACTATTGAAAATTTTGTAAGATTAAAAAAAAATGTCATACTTCTCGATTAATAGAACTCATACGATCATACTTTTTCCCGTTTAGACAATATTTGTCATCCTTCTCGTATTTAAGTGCCAATGTGTTTTCGTTGCCTTTCTTTTCGGCAATATGTATGCTACGACTTCCTTTTGGAATTGTCACAATTTTCACGTAACCTATCCACAAGAAGCGCGAACACATTTCATATGGATTTTCAAGATTTACATTGCCCAGAAAATTCCTCAAGTTTTATAATAGGGTAGAGATTTACCGCGAGTTCCCGTCTTTGTGAATTCACCCTCTACCGGAGTACATTGCGAACCGTCTCCTTTGCAAACGCCACATTGATCCTCTATAGTATCGGAATCCAGTACCCAGTCGCAGCCGACTTTCTATAAAAATAACCACGACAGTACACAGGTAACTAGAGGATCGAGTAACGATCAATGGGAACGTACCCTGCACACTCCGGAAACGCACATGTGATACGTTCCTCCTTTACATGGCGTTCCATCCTCCGCGGTCGGTGAAAGTTTAACAAACGTATTCTTCTCGTTCATGCAGTAAAGTACACATGGATTTTCATCCTCCGGCATGTAAGGTTTCCATTGATGAAGTCCATCGGTCAATACTTTTTTTGTATCGTATCCTGCGCACTGGGTCGCCCGGAAAGGTGGCTTTGACGGGTCGCAGGGCTGTGATGCGATTAAAATTGAGTCCAGTGCATCCAATGAAAGTAACTTCTTTCGATGAGAGTAACCTAAAGATAAGTACCGTAGTGTTGCACGTGGTAACCTTCTTTCTGTATCCGATACAGTATCTCCCGCCGTTTGCCGGCGGTGGCTTGTCGCATTCTCTTTCGGCCGATTTGATCCCGCCCCCACAGGTCCTTGAGCATTCGCCCATCTTACCCCAGTCACCCCAGCCACCGTGAACCGCCTTAGGTCGAGAGCCCATTTCTACGCACTTCTTTCGAATGCACCACTGATATCCACCGAAAAATAAATAATTATGCATCTCCTGCGGAATGGGACTTTTCCGACTGCGCGAACCTTATTCTCTCCACATTTGGTGCCTTCGGCAGCTGGAGCTCCTTTCGAGGAGCACTTCGTTTCCGACGTTTTGCACCATAGCGCTTCGCACCTGTCAACCTAACGGAGCAGGAAGCAAGCATACAACGCAAGCATTGTGGAAAAGATGTGCGCGTCAATGATCTGATGATAATTACTGATCCGGCATCGCAGAAAGATGAGCCAGGATAGTCGAGGTTACATTGAAACTCAGCGTCGTACATGGCACCCGGCAGCATGTTGGGCAGTTTGTACCTCTCTGGTGGATTCTTAGGATCATTGTTGAGACACTCGCCCAGACCGCTACTGCATGGAAAATTGATAATCGTGTGTCCAATTCTGTTAGGCATCGCGTAAGCTCTGAAAGTGAAATCTTCTTACTCGAGAAGAGTCGTGATAAATTTTTTACTGCATGGGGACCATCTAATGGTGTAAATAAATACGATTGGCGACATAACGAAGTAGCTCTCGTCCTTATCCATTTCTTTGCAACCGGAGATGTCCTCCTCGTCGTGAGAACATCCCATTCTGCGCAATGGGCCAAACCAACAAGAACGCAATTAAGAAGGGGATTTCCAGGTGGAAACTAAACAGTAGAGTGATTAATTGCAGACATACACGTGGCCAACTTCATGAGTTATGACGATGCCTAGCAAGAGCCCTGAATCCTCGTTGATGCAGGCAGCCTTAGGGGGATCACAGGCCGCTGCTACGAAGGCCAGACCGAGAAGATCGCAGGAAGTCGTCTCCGCGCAAATGTCGTGTCTTAAAACAAGGGCGAAAAGTGAAGAGCGAAAAGTGAAGCTGAAACGTAACGAGTGGACAGATCAGTAATTAATACCTTGTGACTAATACAGCAATGTCGTAATGATTCGGATGTTCGTGATCTTTCGGATTCATCTTTTCGGCCCATTTTGCGAAGCTGTCGAGTGTCTTCTCAGCATTCGGACTGATGTGCAAGTCTATCTATACATTATAACACGAAGGTGTAGAGTAATGGGAAGCATCGATTGAGATAAAGTTACCATTAAAAGATATATATGAAATTTGGCGCTACCTCGTCCTTTTGTTTTTCTAAGTAAATCATTCGCACAACGATGACATCTATTTGATTACCAGTACTACTGTCGTGATAATAATCCGACGCCATATTCATTATTGTGAGCAGGTACTGCTCGTAGTTGCTCCCATTGTGATAATCGAGGAATTTTCTATCTGCAATTATTCCTATTTCGATGAAGCGGTGAATGCTGTGAGTACTAGAGGCCACGGGGAGTTTCGGGTCTTCTCTCTTCGAAGTGACGCTATTATTCTTGGCCAGACGTAGCTGTCTTTTGGCCAATTGTTCCGCCCAGGCAGACTCCCACTGGTCTGCGGAGGTAAAACACGCCCGTCAATTAGACAACCTACGCGATTCACCTTCCTTCCCTCATGCATTTAGTCCTGCATTATTTCATTATTCATTCACTCGAGATCCTAACCATCAGTTCCGCAATGTCTTTTAGACATTTTCTTAATATCGGATTGTTTCTCATGTGGTGCTGCTCTTCTGTAGACCATGTGCACATGCTGACCATCGGTGGCTGGTTCCGTTTCTTCCAGCGGCTCAATGAAGTATCGTCCTTGATTGGTTTGTACATAGCCGGCCTGCGCACAAGGTTTTTGGATCATTCTAATACGCAAGTAAGCTGTCAAAAGAGATAAGGTTGCTCGCGGATTCACCGAAAAAATCATTAGTCGGCAGATCAACATGGGGTTCCGTGAGCACGTGAGCCATGGTGTTTCAGCATAAGAGATGTTTCGATAATTTTGGGTACTATGTACAAGTCGATGCGTAGGTGAGCGTTTGCCAGTACATATGAGGGGACGAGGG